TTGTGATGGTGCTGGGCGTCCATACGTCATTCTTGGGGTCCAATTTACCCCCCGCGCGCTATCCCGACCTCCAGAAGACGGCCTCATCAGGGTCGAGTCATCGCTTATGACGTGGATATCCATTACGGGCGGTGGGCGTCCTCTGGTTTTAGTGTCGACCTGGACGGACAAAGAACAGGGGTCATCTCGGGGGTCGCGACCCTCGCCTGGATTCATCAGGGCGGACCACTAATCGAGGCGTTTGATGAGTGTGGGGCTATGATCCGATGGCTTGAAATGGCGTAAAAATTATTTTGGAAAAAAAAAAACATTTCAGAACAGGTACTTAAGACAAAACATGTGAGGGTATGCGGTAAGGCACAAAGGAAGTTAAACGTTAGGATGTGTCATATGTACAATTATACGACATGTTTGGTTTTTCCGTGCTCAAATCACGACCTCAGCTGCCCCGCGTTAGCGGAGGACCCTGAGCCCCGCCACCCTTCGCCGCATCTGCGTCGCATCTCGTCTCATCCACGCGGCTAACAAACGGCGCCATTAGTGGCGCGGCGGCGGCGGCAAACTCGGCGCGCCATCGATCGTCGCGCCCGCGCCGTAATTGTATTCTGGCGCGCCCGTGCGGTGGGCGTGGCACGATGCGGTGCTCCAGGGGAGGGGAGGGAGGGGGAGCAGGGGACTGCTCCTAGAGGTAATTGGCAGACGGACACTTCCAGCACGGAAGACGCGGTGATTTGGGGGATATTTTCGGGGCCAGAGTGGACACTTGAACAGTTTTGGGCTTGAATGCAATGTTGTACAATGCGTTTCTATTTAATCGAACTCAAGGATTGGGAAAATGGTAAAACATTGAAGAACATTTTAGCATCTTGGAATATTAAACATGCGGTACAGAATTTGAGAAAGGGACTGCCTGAGACTTGAGAGCACTAACAAAACCATTTCTTGTTCCTCACTCGCCCAAGTATCAATTCATTTCACGACGTGATACCCGTTTATGCTGTAGACGGTGCTGTCGTTTGTCGAGCATAGGAAACAGAAAGCACCTATCATGGTCTCTCCAGGCGGCTGCAGTCGAAGATGACTTACATCTCCAGTAATGGTTGCCGATGTAGGCCACACAGCGCCTGAAAGCAGTAAGCACCATATGGATAGCGTGTTTCGTGTTTGGTGCTCGGAACGATCATACCTAATAGCGAACGGTGATCACCAGTTAAACATAGTAATTGTTGGTCGGGGAGGAGGATGGATAAATGGAGAAAGAGAGAGAGAGAGAGAGAGAGAGAGAGAGAGAGAGAGAGAGAGAGAGAGAGAGAGAGAGAGCGAGAGCGAGAGCGAGAGCGAGAGCGAGAGAGAGAGAGAGAGAGAGAGAGAGAGAGAGAGAGAGAGAGAGAGAGAGAGAGAGAGAGAGAGAGAGAGAGAGAGAGAGAGAGAGAGAGAGAGAGAGAGCATACCAATGCACCGTGTTTTAACTCTGGCCAAAAACTGGCCGGGACGCGAAATATCGACTATTTTTAAACGTTTTCATTTGGCCACTATCGTGTTCAAAAATGATCAGAGCATCTTTAACGACGGAAATTTTTATTCTCTTTATTTTTGAAAACGTTGAAAATGTACAACAAAGTCAGACAACTCTCAAAAGCTAAACTTCGGCGAACAAACGCAGAAACAGTCGCCTTGCTTCACGTCAACATCTTCGAGCTTTGGATTGACAAAACTATATAATTTGGGTACCAAACGATAGTGCGAACTTTTTTCTTTATAATGAGTCATAATTTATACAATTATAATGCACATAGGTGTTAGATTTATTGATTTCCGTCAGCCCTTACATTGGCACACTTTTTTGAAAAAAATGTCAATGTTCTTTTAGAGCTACAAAAAATTGTACGCTAGTGTACGGTCTCAGACTACCACCACACTGTGGGTCAAGGAGTTGTCTACATGTCCTCAAAATTTCAGCTGCGCCTGAGTGCGCCGGTGTTGGGGGTGAACACTTTTTTGAATGAGTCATGTCTGCTCCTGCTGAGCCATTGGACGGGCCCTAGCGTGCGTAAGGGAAAATGCTAGTACTCCTCGTTCATTCTCTCGTCTGTTGTGACGAGTTGGTGGCCCATGGAAGGTCGCCGACCTGTGTGCGACCTGCCGTACCCTGGGGCGTAATCAGCTGACGGCACGACCCCCCACGACACGTGCGAGTTGCATTTTCATGTGTCGCGAGAAGAAAACAAAGGGTCTCCGGAACCAGAGACCGGGCAATGTCGGTGAATGACAGTTGTTCACTCAAAAACTGTAGCATTCCTATGAAATATACATTTCTTAAATATCAACAGCATTATTGGTGTAATTACTTATGTATAGTACCTGGTCTATAACAGGAACCTTCCACCCCATGGCTATTGCAGCAAATTCATAGATGGGCTCTGGAGCTGTATGGTCGCTACACATGCTTGCTTGATAGTTTATAAACATATTTTAATACCTGATGGAGTGCAAATAAATATTCATTGTGCCCAGTTTGCGATGGGACTGTGAACTGAAAGGTGATTGTATGAGACCTGCCACAGCACGCATCGCTGATCACGATGATCGGCTTTTGATCGTTCATCACTGTTTGCGTTCGGCAGGGTTACCATCGGCCTCTTCAGTCAGTATTAATCCGTCCAATGTAGGTGGTATCATTAGTGCTGTCCACCTTTATGAAAAGTATCCGTTTGCTGCAGTAAGCGTCAGTTAGTATGGCAATGAAGTGCTTTTATGAGCACGTTGCATGGTACATAACGCACCATACAATAGGAATTGGTAAGAAGTTTTGGGATACATTCTACCATTACACGTCATGCAATGGCGGATGCAGTGCAGGGTATAGTGGGTATTTGCCCTCCCCATAGCTGAATCGTGTGGGCAAAACTATCCTTTTGCCGCTCCCAAAGCTTTTGGTGATGAGAAATATAATACGGCGTCGAATGTCGATGCTTATCTGGACGAAAAGCCGATCTTTCCGTCACAACCATTCTGAGGGATGGACCTGACCGCTCGCTGTTCATTATTTAGGTTGGTATGCTGATAACAGATGGAACTCTCTCAACTGCACACATGCAGATTGCAGACGCAGTGAAGCGTTGTAAAGTCACCGGCGCGACGGTGGGTCGGGGTCACCGAATGGGTCGGAAACTTTTGCCCTCTCCAAACGGATTAGCTGGATCCGCCCGTGAGTCATGTGACGTAAAACATACAAGACTCTGGACTTACTAAAGTGGAGACCGGGTTAACATCAAGTTGATATCAAAATACACGTTTGAAAATGTTTTTGAAATGAATATAAAGATTGTAGGTCCTATATGAATAAGTCCTATACCTATAAGAGCATTCAAGGTCACCTGAGGTCATCAACGCTAATTAACAAGGGCATGTCCTCAAATTGACTTGCCTCGTCGATGAGCCTTGCTCAGACTTGCGATTACTCTAAATTTACAGATACCTAAATGTTCGTGCATTCATAGCTAGAACATGAAAATATTTTTATGTTTCGTGACACTTGTGACGTCATAAACAAGTACATAAGCATCTGGTCCGACACATTTTGCACTTCAAATGATCGTTAGTCTCCAACGCTTCGTTTGAGCCCAAAAACACGTCTGTATCTCTTATAGTTTCTTAGTTATGAGCCCTGGCCAGTTTTGGCCCTGAGTTAAAACATAGTGCAATGGCGCTTTTATTCGCTGATTTCAAGTAGAAAGGTAGAAAGCTGCAAGAACTCATCAACCAACCATGCACAAAAACAATCGCTGCACAATCGTTTCCAAGTATGATGTTTGCCAGTTTGTCCGTTGTTATTGTCGTCGCACGGCGTCTCCACGGGCCATTTGGTGTCCACAGCACCCCGGGGACAGATTCTTCTATCCGTGTAAGCCTGTTAGTCGGAACACGCGTTTTTATCGCCGGCGGCGGCCTGTTTTTATAGTTCTTGGCGAGCGGCTGCGCCGCAGCGGCAGCCAATCTCGCCTCTTTTCTGCCGGAGGAGATTAGTTTCTATCCGAGCGGCGGCCACAATACGCGTCCTATTGACTGCAGGGGTCCGATAATTTGCCCCCGGCTCTGACGGTGCCGTCTGCGGCTGTCGTGGCCTCCAAGGGCGATGTCAGGACGCTGGATTGAAGGGGACGATGTCAGGTCCAGGGGTGGGCCCATGTCTCACTAATAGAAATGTACAGCTTCACCAAACTAACAGCGATTTAGATTTAGAACGAACTAAGCGAAGGCCATGTCAGTCACAACTATCGTCTTTATTTATGTCAAATTGTGAACATTGTCCCGCATATTGTCAAGCGAATCAGTGTAAATATGTCGAGACGAGAAGACCGATTCCCTCATTTCTTATCTCGGTCGACACCTCGCCACCCTCTCATTTCCCTCGGTCGCCGGATGCCGTTTATTTAACTGACGTCATATCAGCGGCTCAATTTGTCACACTCTGTCCCGGTTAGTTCTGCCCAGACGCGTCCCATGTCCCACGTCCCACCGGGTCCCACAGAGTGCTGTCCCACGGCGGGTGGCGTTACCCATGGGAACATGGCTTTATAATTGATTACCTGTCGGGGAAAACCAGGGGATCTTCGCGAGGAAGATTGTCGCACAAGTCTTAGATGACCAATTAATTGAGCTGTGTGACTTTTATGACTAGGCTAACATGTGATTCTGAAGAAAATACCTCTCCACTACCTATAATGAAATGATACATGATGGGTGATGATAGTTCATAATTTTATAACGAGAAAACGTTTTGGTTAGATTCACACTACCGAAACTGTGTGAAGGAGCCTGAGACACCTGAGAATGGTTGCTAGCAGAGCCTTCCCGTTACTTTCCTTTTAGCAACCTATCATACCGTGTGCCCTTACAACCCTCTCTTCAAGTGTACTGTATAATGCTACACTGTACATAGCTCTGTGTAGTTGTGCCCTCCGTCCACCCCTCTAACTCTCTCCCCCCTCTCTCCACAGACTGCCGTACCGGACAGAGGAGGAGGACCCCAAATCGTGCTGCGGCCTGGTGGTCACCCAGTCCGTCTCCATCCGGTGGTTCATTGTGATGATCGCCTTCGTCGGACTCTGCTGTGCCATCGTCGGCACCGTTCTAGGAGCTCTGAAGGCCACTGGACGGGAACACCTCACCGTGTCGCTGCTCATGATTGGTGAGTGATGGGGAGCGCAGGTGCTGATTGGAGAGTCAGAGAGTACGGTTTCGGTGGTATTCGAACTAGGCGGCTTATGCTTCCTTGTGATTGGTGGGTAAGGTCGAGCGCAGGCGCTGATTGGGGGATAAGAGAGTACGGTTGTGGTGGAATCCAATGCGCCATAGTTTCTGTAATCTGAAGTGTGAGGCCGTATTTAGATGCTCGGGATATAGCACACGTAGCCTGCTCTCACTAGGCTTTGCCTATTTTCGCAGACGGTGACGTTTGAAATCAAAAGCGATTTCATCAATGCCGTGTTTCACGGTGTTGATGACCTTTTTAGCGCCGACGCCCATGAAACCTTAGTCATCATCAGCTGCTTTTGTCTTATCTGTTAGCCTGGGTTAGGTGCACCCGAGGCCCAGAAATTGTCAATGAACGGTGTTTTTAAGGCTATTCACACCTTCGGCTTAGGTTCTCACCATTCCACAATGCTCTGACTGTTGCTCTTATTCAGTACCTCCTCCACAAATTGGTATGTCCCGAACTGCAGAACGTCACTTACCACTTCTAGGTTTGTCTTCATTCTCTTTTATTACTGGGTCGTGCGTTCTGTCTCGTCTCCAAAACGTACAGCGCTGGTCGGTAATTTTCTACCTTCCCTTCAAAGCGTCCCGTACCAGTCCGTCATCAGCTCCCATTCAGCTCCTCGCCATCCGCTCTATACTCTGACTGTGACAGGACGGCCCAGCCAGCTACCATTGTGACGTGACGGCCCTGTGACCGTCACGAGCGTCACGTGGGACTCCCACAGGTCACCGACCTCAGAGCTGTGTCGCATTATGTGACGGATCACGGGACGAACACCTGCCACCGTAACACAGGCGTTTAGCCAGTTGCCGGTACGAGCTACAAAGATACAAAGCAGAATCAGATAAAGACCTTTTCAGATACGATCGATGCTCAGTGACACAGATTTTTACATCAAGGGGAACCAACAGGGATAGAATGGAGGCTTGGTGTCTGACACCGTTTCTGTGTCATTGTGTCAGAGTGACACGGTGGTATAGTGACACCGTGACACACAGACGGTGTCTAGACGCATGTATGACACAGTGACATAGAAATATCTCTTTGATATAACGGACAAAGTCCTCTCGCGCCCTAAGTCGTTTCCTATCCCATAGTAAGATTCCTGAGTTTCTTATGGTCCATAAAGAAGAAAAAACACTTGTCATTTCTACAGGGAAGGCTCAGCCAGCGTCTATTGACAGAGTTGATGGCAATCCTTTAGCACTCAGTTTAAACCGGATCTCCGCTAGATTCCTTTGTTTTTCAGTTCACCTGAGGCGCTGCTGTGTGTCTGGAAAGTTTCCCTCTCACTCTCTCATTCTTCCTCTCTTCGCTGTACCTCTGACAGGACCGGCGGCGACCGTGGTCTGTTTTTTGGCCGACCGACGCGCGTTTTCCGGCTGTGGCGCGCCGTTTCCGTCTTCATCCCGTCGGAATTGTCTCTGTAAATAGAAGCACCGCGACGTCGGGGCGCGGGCCACGTCACAGGAACGAGCGCCACGGCTGAAATGGTCCCTGGACGGCACACGGCGGCGACACAGACGAGACGGTAGCCGTGAAACGGCTGTAGAAATGCCATGTGGAGAACGGGGTCTTAAAACGATCTTAGAAAGGTTCACGAAAGTGCTTATTGTTAATGTTAAATGCTACTTACGGCTTACACTAAAATGTGCTCAGCTGTGCTGCTCTAAATTGCTCAAACCGTTTGTGGTTACCCGTTATATGAGGATGGTTGTTTGGATTTCAGCGGTAAACGTTGGATCCTAGCAAGCTCAATTGCTTCTTTGTTGTGACGCTTTGCTCCATTAATCAACGCTTTGTATCAAATCAGACTCCTGTCGTTTGCGAATACACAAAAACTTCTGGAATAGGCAATTACATTTGACTGATACTTGCTGTCAAGTTGCAAACGAGCACGACCCCCATTTTCCGCCTTCTTTGTGCGCTCGACTCCTTCTGTCGTCGGTAATTTGTTTCGGTTTTGTCTGTCACTGACGTTAGGTACTGACAAACTATATAAGAACATCCACTCCAATAACTTAAATCACAGCTCGAGGGTGCTTCTGTGTAATCGGGGAAGAGCGCCACGCACAATCTAGACTCGCTCTGAAAAGGATAAATTGGATCGTGTTGCTGACAAGTAAGGACTTCTAACTCATCTCTTTATGGCGATTGTTGTAGCCTCGACTTTTATTTTTGTTCCCGATGTAGCTTGCGGCATTTAGAGAGACATATTTGGAAACTGAAAAGCACGTTTCTAGGGATCCTTTGTGACCTAAGCTACCCTCCAATTTGGCAATCACTGAATTTGCACAATCAATGAAATATTTTGTCAGCATATTCTTACTTGCGCTTTGAGCCATTATTCCAGCACGCGTTATGCCTGGCGTATGTGGCTCCAAACCACCCCGACTCTCTCCCATGTCTGTGCCGGTATGGTTCCGTCTATGGCCGGTTTAGACCGCCGAGTGGACGGGCCGCTGTCAGGTGGTCCAATTCCGGCCGCTTTGTCGGTCCGGCGGGGTCACCTGAGGTCAGCAGACATGGCCGACAATAGTCAGCTGACTGCGGTCATAGTCAGCTGATGGCGCTCATGACAGAAAGAGGCGAGAGGGGGAGAGAGAGAGAGAGAGAGAGAGAGAGAGAGAGAGAGAGAGAGAGAGAGAGAGAGAGAGAGAAGAGAGAGAGAGAGAGAGAGAGAGAGAGAGAGAGAGAGAGAGAGAGAGGGAACGAATGGAGGAAGTAAAAATGTAGAGCAGCTGGGGAAGAAAAGAAGTAGGACGGTGTCTGAGGGAAGGCAGGAGGGTAAAATATGAGGTCGTGGATAAATGAAGAGAGGAGGGTGGGGTGGGGTGGAATGTCGGTGACCACTTCCGGACCCTGTTAGAGAGAGAGGGGTGAGAGAATGGGAGAGAGAGGGAGAGAGAGAGAGAGAGAGAGAGAGAGAGAGAGAGAGGGAGAGTGGGGGAACCGACGGACTCAGTAGAGGGAAGGGAGGAAGAGACACACAGGCTAAAATCAGAATGGAAGGAAGTGATGGAAGGCGAGAGACAGAGAGCTGTATTGCACACTAACGTACTAACTGACGAATGAGTCGGAGGGTACCCTGCCGGTCAGAAACCGATAGACACTGGCGCCTGTCCAGAACCGCTCACAGACGACCAGGTCACCGCCCATAGACGACCAGGTCACGTCCAGTGACCAGATACGGAGGCCGCTGAGGCCGCGCCATTCGCCAATCCGTTGTGCAACGCCGTGGCCATGTTCGTGCTGTGGGGATTGTGGTTGAGTAAACTAGCGGTAAGTGTTTGGCCAAGGCATGGCTGCGGGTTTGCGGCCGGTTGTCAAGGCAGAAATCTTTACCGTTGGTTTATTACCTATCTTTCTTGTTGGTAGATATGCTTTGTCATTCCCCCTGAATATCTCCATTATGATGTTTGCATAAGGTGGGTGCTAAGTGCTAACTGCTGCACTCCGAACGCACGACAGCACAAATAATCCCCAATTTGATAATTTTCTTACTCGTTTCCATGCGTTCCGCTCTCTCTCCTTTACGTACTTACGCGCGCCTCTGCTGTTCCCCCAAAGCCCGTCTTCTGGTTCACTAATCCCCGGGTCGTTCGGCTGAGGTTTTTCGCGACCGGCGTTGGCGGCAGTGACGCATCCCCCAGATACTCCGCTAATTGGTCCGGGCCATTCGTCTCCCCCAAATCGGATCCTATCGTGTGGGGGGGGGGTCACAGGGGGGCGTAGGAGGGAGCAGATCGCGAGTAGGAGGGAGACAGCGATTTGGGACGCGTGCGTCTGTGACGAACAAGGCTAGAGCGTGGTGGCGTGGGCCGTAGTGACGTAGCTCAGAGAGGCCAACGAACCGGGATTATGTTCGTGCAGTGGCGAACTCCCGCGGGAGGGAATGTAACAGGATTTCGGTAAGACGGAAGGTATCCCCCCTAATCGGGTTATCAACGCTCGAATGAAGCCGATTGGAGATTTAATCTCGCGATGTCGTGATGTGGCGGCTGCTGGTGTAAAGATTTTCCTTAATTTAATGTGGTGAGGAGAATCTTATAAACGCACTTTCTCGTCTCGATGAGTTCGCTGATGTAGCGGTCTTGCTTAGGCGGCAGGCGCCACTGCACGTGACTCTGCAGTGCAAAGCATCTGCAGTCTGCACGGTATTATTTGACCTGTTAAAAAGAACTCATTTGTGGTAAACGCTACGCGGAACTAATTCGCACGAAGGGATGCTACAAAAATGCACGGTTATATTACGCAGGTCAACCTGGTGCACAGAGGCTTTGGTTACTGACAAAGATGTGTCTGATATTTTATTCTGATTGCAGCTATCTTTGATTGATCTCAGTTTTATCTGAACCGACGCGAACCCCTAATTGAGTGTGTTGACGCACTGCGTGAAGTTAACTCCTTGTCATTCCCTGGTGTCGCTGGCAATAATTGATTGGGGGAGCTAACCCGATTTCAGTGTCGGGAGGGGTCGCTGACCCGCGCCTGCAGCTGTCGACACCGGCAGCTGTTGGAGCTCCCAGATAAATGAGACTCAACAAACAGCAGTCCATTCTGCCAGTGGCGTCTGTTAGAGTGGGATGGCAATAAATAGTCCGCAAGTTTGAATGACCATCTATGAGAGGGCCAATCGATGCTATTGGATGTACTCCCTACCAAACCGATGTCCTTCAGACTTGTCACAAAAGTATGAATGCTCCTCAAATCCATGCACAGTTTATTGTGATTTTGTCACTCATGCTTCTAGCCACAGCACAAAAAAAACTGAGAGCGCATAGTTAATCGAAACGACGTCGTTTATCTTTCCATACACTCTCTCTCCACGTTTCGCCGTCGTCTACCCCGCTCATCAGGGGGGGGGGGGAGAAGTGCGCGGTAGGGGAAGGAGAACTCCGCGAGGCACCATCGCTCTTCTTTTCGCG